TGTGTGTGTGTGTGTGTGTGTGTGTGTGTGTGTGTGTGTGTGTGTGTTTGTGTGTGTTATCCTTGAATATGAATACACATATGTTCTTGAATAATACATACATATACAATGAATACACACACACACACACACGTGCGCACACACACACATAAACTCATTGTGTAAGTCCTGTTACTCTAGATTCTTAAATCTAGAGAACCCAACTGGTTTCTCTGTAGGGAAAAAAGTACTTTCAATGGGAAGATTTATGTTTCTACTCCTCCAGACAGGGTACAACATATTTCATGTAGTGGTTCAGTGCAAGTAATCAAGCATCAAAAAAAATCTGAGGTGATTAGTAACAGTTCTACTACTAATTAGCCTGATTAGCTGTTGCCTTGATTGAGTTCCCCTCTTATCTTCTTGTCTATGAATGAAGAGAATACTCGGTAGCTGACATAAATAATAAGTGAGCAAACAGGAAAGTATACTCTCTCAGCACATGATAAATATCAAATAAATATTGGTGCTGGTTGCTATCCTTTAATAATTTTAGCCCGATCTAGGTGATAAGAACTGATTTTAACTTTTATCCTAAATCTGGCTTGCTATGGAAATAATCAGAACTTTGATTAGGGTAATTTCTACAGGAAAAAGAAGACTATTCCTTGAGGTACTGACTTACCTCAGATGAAGTTAAATTCATGTCTCCCCAAATAACAATGCCTGCAGCTCCCAACGAAGCACTTTCTCCTATGGTATTAATTAGATCTTGCTAGATAGAAGAGAACAAAGTTAATTAGTCATTAAAAGATAAATCAACTCACCAGGAATTAAGATTACAGGCTAATTGCAAATAGTCCTTAGAAATCACCCATTGCTTTCTTACAGTGATTTAAATATGAAACAGACTTATGCTCAGAATCATATTCTCTGATCATATACAATAGTGTGTACGTGTGTGTGTGTGTGTGTGTGTGTGTGTGTGTGTGTGTCTTTAGACAGAGACTCACTCTGTAGCCTTGGCTTCTCTGGAACGTAAGGTCAGGCTGACCATAAATTCATAAAAATCTTACTGCCTTTGCTTGCCTCTGAGTGCTGAGAATAAAAGCACATGCTACCATGCCTGGCTAATATAAATGTCTTTAAAGAAAAATACTACATTTTAATAGGAACGATATTATTTTTAAAATAATTGATATAGAAGCGATCACCAAAAGTTGTTTGTTTGACGTTGCTCACAAGCTAGCTATATGTATAAATGCAGAAACAGAATCCAAAGATTTTCCTTTCATTAAGACAAGCCCTTCAGCTTCCTTCTTGAATCTGTCACACACCTCTGTAGCATTTCACCAGCAGTCACTCAGTGGCTTCTTGTCCTTTAGAGTTCAAAGGCTGACAAGGGTACAGTGCTAATGTCTCCAGGCTTTGACTTTGTCCAGCCTTTATATGTGGTCCCTGAAACTATCTAGGTTAATTTCAGAGTACTGGATATAATGGGGTTTATCTGTGACTCATCCACCAATGACAAATCCACAAGGATTTTCCTAAATATGGTTAAGATAAAGGAATCAAGATTTCAGAAGAATTTGTGTTTTTTCTATTAAAGATTATCTTAGTGCTTAATGATAATTGTGGAGCTAGGAAATATAAGGGGGAAATTAGAGTTGGGTATATGTTGCTGTTTCCTAGCTTATTAAATTATAATGTATTCTCCCTCTATTCAGGATACTAAAAACTCACCTTTTACTCCAAGAATAATTTTTTTAAGTGATAGGAAGTGGTGAGCTAGAAAAAAAAATAGAACAACAACAAAAATATCAAATTGTCTCCAGTTTGGCCACCTTACGATAATGTCAATAACTGGAGGATTACTCTTTGTTTGACACTTCTAAAGTCTATCACTCAAATTAACAATTTTACAATGTCCGTCTTTAAACAGACTTCTACAGACATCTTTCTGGAGATTCTTGTAAGGTGACGAAGGGATTAAGTTTAAACTAAGTTACCTTTCCGGTCCATATCCATTTCTATCTTCCAAGCTACTATCAGATAGCCCACAGAGCAGGAAGGGGGGTGTTGGGGCACAAACGAGATGGTGTACATGAAAAGGTTTTGAAGGTTGCCAACAGTCCGGTAAATACAAACAGAAGAGAAAGCGCCCAGGCGGAGCCCAGACAGCAGCCTTTAGAATGTACCTCTCTTTACTCAAACACATAAGTAAGCAGAACTCAGACCTTTTAGCCCAGCAAGATGACAGTCACACAATGGGATCAGAAGGAAGTCTCAAAAGCCTGATTAAAATTAACATAGCATTATCCAACGAGGAATGGGGCATAGCGTTTACATGTTTTATTTATGTCATTTTATTTATGTCAATATATGAGTATATTTACCAAATATGGAAGCTACAGATTTATGTGGTAACAGTCATACCTTCTAAGGTTATTACTTTATTTTAAGTGTATTATTCCTTTGCTGTCATTATGCAAGGGTTTATTGGGACAGATTAAAGACATAGCAAGTCTTCAAATGCATCCTGACTAAAGATAAGAGTCTACTAACATTAAAAAAAATTATTGTCATATTTGTTCACTGTCCTCTGGAAGAGTTCAGGGTGATAAACTGAACTACAATTGTGGTCTGGAGATCAGAAAACCAAAGGCACTAAAAAAGCCATTGAGAAGAGGTCTTTGGGAGTATACAGGAGCCACCTAAAAGTTGGAACATCATGAATGGTAAAAAGAAAAGGAACAAAGTAGGTATAGCAAAAATGAGCCTCTGGGTCCCAGTCTGGCCGATGGCTGCTGTACTTTTGCCCATGATCCTCAAATTCAGATCAGTGTTTCAGGAGCTAATAAATACTTTGGTTGCAGGGCAAAAGGAAATCTGAAATTACCAGAAAACTTCCTCCATCCATGTTAGTTAGCTTTCATAGTGCCAAGATGTTGTATAAGCAACTGAGGAAGAAAAGACATTACTGACCTGACCTTTTCTTGTTGTTGTTTGTTTGTTTTGTTTTTACAAGAGAAGGTTTTTCTGTGTGGCCTTAGCTGTCCTGGACTTGCTTTGTAGACCAAACTTGACTGGAACTCTCAGAAATCCACCTGCCTCTGTCCCCCTGAGTGCAGGGATTATAGGTGTGTGCCAGTGTGCTTAGAATGACCTTACCTATTATTTGGTAAGACAGTTGTAAAACTAAGCACCCTAGCAAGATGTACCCACTGGTACAATAATGTCACAACTGGTAGAGGGGTAATCAGCCATGTTGTGCTTGGATTTGTGGTCCACTCAACAGGAGAAAATTCATGTCTAGTAATGTAAACCTGGTCGAAGGCCTGTTGCTGGTGAGGTCATAGGGCCTAGAGTGAAACCTATCACTGCAATTTTGCTAAGTGGTCATATGTCAAACTGCCTTTAATCTCTTATATTTATTATATCCATAAATATGTGCTATTCTTTACTTTGCTTAGAGGAGCTTCTTTTTGTAGTGAGCAGTGATTCAAACAAATTCATAACTTTTTAATAGGCTGAGAATAAAAGTCTATGAGTCCTTAACCCTAATTGGGACATTATGTCTTTCCTCTGCTCTCTATTATTCTAAGGTTTGGGTAACATCAAGGAAGTGAGGACAGGAAAAAAATGCATGAGCTGCTAGGTGAAAAGGAATGCTTTGAAATGCTGCCTCCTCTACAGAGCCTGGCTATTGCACTTAGGAACTTAAGGAAGCTACACTTTCCTGAACAAGATCAAGCTACTTAAAATTCTAGTCTGACTGGGAGCAAGAATTTCATGTGGCTCCATTGCTAACTGGGAAACTATTGACCATTGGTGGTTGTTGGAGAAATAAGGAATCATTTCCCTTCGCGACTGTGGCCACGAGTAAGTTGCTCATACTCCATGGGATGGCCCCAGACCCATAAACAAGCAGGTGGCTGTCTGTTTTCCATTGAATGGTTTTGGCATCTTTGTCAAAAATCAGTTGCCCATAAGTGTGTGGGTTTATGTCAGGGTCTTCTGTTCGATTCCATCGATCCACCATTCTGTTTCTATGCCAGTACCATGCAATTTTTAGTATTGTTGCTCTATAGTACAGCTTGAGATCAGGGATGGAAGATACCTCCAGAAGATCTTTTATTGTAGAGGATTGTTTTAGCAATTCTGGGTTTCTTGTTATTCCATACAAAGTTGAGAATTTTTCTTTCCAGGTCTGTAAAGAATTGTGTTGGTAATTTGATGGGAATTGCACTGAATCTGTAGATTGATTTTGGTAAGATGGCCATTTTTACTATGTTAATCCTGCCAAGCCATGAGCCTGAGAGATCTTTCCATCTTTTGATATGTTCTTCTAATTCTCTCTTCAGAGACTGAAATTTTTTTTTCATACAAGTCTTTGACTTGCTTGGTTAGGTTCACACCAAGGTACTTTATGTCCTTTGTGGCTATTGTGAAGGGTGTTATTTCCCTAATTTTTTTCTCAGCCCTTTTGTCTTTTGTATACAGGAGGGCTACTGATTTTTTTGAGTTAATTTTGTATCCGGCTACATTGCTGAAGGTGTTTATCAGCTGTAGGAGTTCCCTGGTAGAGTTTTTGGAGTCACTCACGTATACTATCATATCATCTGCAAATAGTGATAATTTGACTTCTTCCTTTCCAGTTTGTATCCCCTTGATCTCCTTCAACTGTCTTATTGCTCTAGCAAGAACTTCCAGAACTATGTTGAAGAGATATAGAGAGAGTGGGCAGCCTTGCCTTGTCCCTGATTTCAGTGAGAATTATTTAAGTTTCTCTCCATTGAGTTTGATATTGGCTATAGGTTTGCTATATATTGCCTTTACTATGTTCATGTATGTACTATGTATCCCTGATCTCTCTCCAAGACTTTAAAAATGAATGGATGTTGGATTTTGTCAAATGCCGTTTCAGCATCTAAGGAGATGATCATGTGGTTTTTCTCCTTCAGTTTGTTTATATGGTGGATTACACTGATGGATTTCCGTATGTTGAACCACCCCTGCATGCCTGGGATGAAGCTTACTTGGTATAGTGCATGATATCTTTGATGTGTTCTTGGATTCGGTTTGCAAGTATTTTGTTGAGTATTTCTGCATCAATGTTCATGAGGGAGATTGGCTGAAATTTTACCATTCAATGAAAAAAAGATAGCATCTTCAACAAATGGTGCTGGTCTAAATGGATGTCTACATGTAGAAAAATGAAAATAGATCCATACTTATCACCCTGCACAAAACTAAAGTCCAAGTGGATCAAAGACCTCAACATAAAACCAGACACACTAAACCGCTTAGAAGAAAAAGTGGGGAAGAGCCTTGATCTCATTGGCACAGGAGACATCTTCCCAAACACAATACCAACAGCACAGGCTCTAAGGGCAACAATCAATAAATGGGACCTCATGAAACAGAAAAGCTTCTGTAAAGCAAAGGACACTGTCGTCAGAACAAAACGACTGCCTACAGATTGGGAAAGGGTCTTCACCAACCCTATATCTGACAGAGGATATCCAGTATATATAAAGAACTCAAGAAGTTAAACAGCAAAAAAATCTAGTAATCCAATTTAAAAATGGAGTACAGAGCTAAACAGAGAATTCTCAATAGAGGAATATGCGAATGGCAGAGAAACACTGAAAGAAATGCTCAACCTCATTAGCCATCAGGGAAATGCAAATCAAACGACCCCAAGATTTCACCTTACACCCATCAGAATGGCTAAGATCAAAACCTCAAGTGACAACACATGCTGGAAAGGTTGTGGAGAAAGAGGAACCCTCCTCTATTGCTGGTGGGAATGTAAACTTGTAAAACTACTGTGGAAAGCAATCTGGCGCTTCCTGAGACAACTAGGAATAGCGCTTCCTCAAGATCCGGCTATACCACTCCTAGGCATATACCCAAAAGAGGCTCAAGTACACAATAAGGACATTTGCTCAACCATATTTGTAGCAGCCTTATTTGTAATAGCCAGAAGCTGGAAACAACCCAGATGCCCCTCAGTGGAGGAATGGATACAGAAATTGTGGTACATCTACACAATGGAATATTACTCAACAATAAAAAAAAAAAAAAAAAAAAAAAAAAAACAAGGAAATCATGAAATTTGCAGGTAAATGGTGGGATCTGAAAAAGATCATCCTGAGTGAGCTGTCCCAGAAGCAGAAAGATGCAACGGTATATACTGACTCATAAAGACATATAATATAAGATAAACCTAATAAAATCTGTACACCTAAAGAAACTAATCAAGAGGGAGGACTCTGGCTAAAATGCTCAATTCCTATCCAGAAAGGCAAAGAGGATGGACATCAGAAGAAGGAGAAAAGAGGGAACAAGTCAGGAGCCTGACACAGAGGACCTCTGAAAGGCTCTGCCCTGCAGACTTTCAATGCAGATGCTGAGACTTATGGGCAACCTTTGGGCAGAGTGCAGGGAATCTTTGGGAAAGAAGTGGGAAACAGTAAGATCTGGAGAGGACAGGAACTCCACAAGGAGAGCAACAGAACCAAAAAATCTGCACATAGGGGTCTTTTCTGAGACTGATATTCTAAACAAGGACTATGCATGGAGATAACCTAAGACCCCTGCAGAGATGTAGCCCATGGCAGTTCAGTATCCAAGTGGGTTCCATTGTAATAGGAACAGGGACTGTATCTGACATGAACTGATTGACCTGCTCTTTAATTACCTCCCCCCTGAGTGGGGAGCAGCCTTACCAGGCCACAGAAGAAGACAATGCAGCCACTCCTGATGAGACCTAATTGACTAGGATCAGAAGGAAGGAAAAGAAGACCTCCCCTATCAGTGGACTTGGGGAGGGGCATGCATGCAGAAGGTGGAGGAAGGGAGGGATTGGGATGGGAGGAAGGAGGGAACCACAAGGGATACAAAGTGAATAAAGTGTAATTAAAAAAGAATTAAAAAAAAAAAACAATCTCCCACAACAACCAGTAATAGGGAATTCAGCTTCTGCTAGCACAATGTGTTAGTTCATTCTCACCTTGCTGTGTCCTTTAAAAGGAATGTTAATAAGAAAGGTAACAAAATTTAGTTCCCATAAAGAAAGAGTCTATGCCAATCAGTTGTCTAGAAAAAAAATAACATGCCAGCTTTCCACTAAGTGGTATTCTTCAAAGGAAATAAATAACTAAGAACTGTTTCTTTTAGAGATACAGGGGATTGCCTCCACCATGGCACAAAGAGAGTCTTACCTTAGAAAGAAAAAGTAAAGGCTCCTCTTTGTAGCTCAGCCGCGTATAGATGAATACAGGAAGAGCATAATTACGTGATGTCATGGTGGAGATTCTCATTGATTCACGGACCCGAAATTGTGAGAAGTGCAAAGTATTGTCAGTGTCTCTGAAGGATTTCTTGACACCAACAGCAGGATACAGGGCAGTGCTGCTGTTCCAAAGCCAGAAGAGATCGTTGTTCCTTAAAACTTCCTCTTCTGGACATGACCCACTGTAATTTGCGGCATACAAATTATAATTGTGGCAGTCAGGATATAAATAATAACCCCAAAGGCCCTTGGGTCGGCTCTTAATTCCTAATTTGATAGTTTCCTCCATGAAAGCTTTTGCACTTTTCTCAAAAGTTGCTTTGGCTAAATGCTCAGTATCAGCAGCTGACATGTTCGCTTTCATTTCAGAAATAAGTTTCCTTGACTGCTGTCTGTAGATATCCTTCATGTTCCAGTTCCGGGCCCACTGTGGGCGCCAGTATTCCCAATCTATGACAGCAAGTCCACTGAAATTCTCAGCTGGGATGTAGTAATTAATGTCCTGGGCAGCTTTTTCCAGGTGTGCTTGTAAGCTTGTGTTTTGGGGAAGACCCCCATTGACGGGGATCCCTCCTGATGTATACCACGGGTAATACCCCAACTTGTTGATGTAAAATATAGTAACATTTTGTCCCCTGTCTTTGAGCCGAGGGCTTCCAATCATCTGAAACACTTTTAAATTCAGTGTGAAATTATATTTCATCAAACACAGTTCTGTTGGGGCATTCCAAGCAGCTATAAAAGGTTTCCTTTGGTAAACTGGAAGTCGAGCAGGTTTTAGAGATGAGATAGACTTCAGGATAAAAAATACGAGAAGCCCTGATGTAATGTGTACTGGTTGAACAACACAGAGTCTTAAATGTCCTTCAGATAATAGTTTCATGATAAGATAGAAACTCCCACGACCTCTTCTTCAATGTAATCCAAAAAGCCTGTGGAAAAATTCAGTTTTCCATTAGTGATTACTTCCAAGAGAAGGAATGCTGTTGCTGTTTACTTATATTTTGACAGCATAATTTATTTTAAAGTTATGATGATTCTGACAAATGAATTGAGATGTGAAATCAAGTGTCATGGTCAGGTTTCTACAGAGGTAAGCAAAAAAATTTCAAGAAGAGTCCAAGGAGTACGAAACCTGTATGCCCACCATGAAATATGAGTAAGATGTGTGGTTTATAATGAAAAACAGATGTGAGATGATACAATCACTTTGGAAAGCTTGCTAATATCAGGCAGGCATTACATGTAGATGCTTTAGTTGTTCCGTCATAAGAATTACGTAGCAGTCTATAATTAATTGCATTTCCAGTTTGGAAGAGAGAAAACTGAGACATAAATGGGATGCCCTGTTTGGTGTCCCATTACATGAAAAATAAGGCACTGCGAGCAAATACTAGAAAAATGCATGCTAACATAATGGAGTGATTACTCTGGCTGTGAGGGACAAGGAGCGGAGGAACACTAGGGGCTGATTTAAGATGGTAAGAGACAAAGAACTGTCACATTTCTCTTTTGGTTTTCTGGGGGAAAGTACAAAAGACTTACTTTTAGATACTCACTGCAAAGATCAGTGAAACGGAGATGCCTTGTGCTTAGGTGTATCACCGTGATATTGAGACATGTAGTCGTCTGCTCATTAAGTGGCCAGAAAACAGACCCATTTCCACTTCCTCTATGGTGAATTCTGCACCAACTGCCTTGATGAAATGTGCTTCACTAAGTAGACCCAAAATCCAAACGCTTCCCCAGCTTTCAGTGCAGCTCTGATGCTGATTTGGACCTTGAAAAAAATCCCTTAGATGCATCCTGATCAAGCCTTTGAACTGAGATCTTGGGATTCAAAGACTCTAAGAGGTGGTGGTGATAGCATTCCAACATGGAGGAGGTAGGGAGAAGCTCCGTGAATAAAATGCTGTTGTAGAAGTATGAGAACCTGAGTCTGGATGCCCAGCACCCACATAAAAGCAGGGATAGTGGGACTCCCCTGCAACCTCAGCACTGCGGGAATGTAAACAGTTGGATCCCTGGAGGTCGCTAGCCAGCTACCTGGCTGAATTAATGAGTTTAAGGTTCGGAAGGAGACCCTCTCCTAAAAACTAAGATGGAAATGATAAAGGGAGATACTGGGCACTGAGCTCTGCTCTTCACATGCTCTTGAGCAGGTAAGTGCACCTGCATTCACATTCACACCACACACACACATACACACACAACAGAAGTGGCCTGGTTGGTGGGACACCGAACCTCCATGTTTCCGCTGTGTGGTAACAACATTGTTCTTCTGGCACAGATCTTTTCTGTTCACATGTGGTACATTTTATTTCAAATCAGAGACTGCGACAGAGGCTCTTTCAGTGGAACCTCTGGCTTGGTGAGAATTATAGAGAGATAAATAAATGTATGGTTATACAGATACAGGTTTCTCAATGAGTTTTTCTCATAATTTTTTAATTAAAACTTTAGCACCAATTGTATTGTAATACAATCCATTTTATTTATATGGCTCTTGAAGGCCCATAATTTATTATAAATCTATTTCACATCATGATCACAGAACACCGGAATACCTTCTTTTGAACAAATTTTAGAACTGTTGTGCTTTCTGTGTTCTTCCTTTCTATTTTTTCTCCCCAACAAAATAAGCTTAACTTTTTAAATATATAAAAATGACTATTTCAGTGATTGCTCTCACATAGCTGTTTTCTCTGGGCGAAATCCCTTCTTCCATGAGGGAGGGTCAGTATGCACAGGACAGCAAAAATTTACACGATTCATAAGATGTACAAGGCCACTCCCCAAAGCCCTGTAATTCACACCCAGCTGTTGGGGTAGAGCCTGCTCAGTGGTGAAGACGCACGCACAAAAGGTGCAGGAAGAGCTGGTTATGCAGCTTTTGTGAGTAATCACCCATCACCTGGAGGCTTAGCCTCCTTGGTGAAGCTTTCCTGTGTCATCCAAGGCTGGAGTAGGAGTGAAGCTTCTCAGTGATGGGTGGCTGACAAGGACAGTCACTCATGCTCCAGGAAGCAGTCCCTTACCTGTCTTCTCATAAGCAACCCCAGTCATTGGGTGGGAACCTATCTTTGGTCTGTTGGTGTTCTCTACTTGAATAAATAATCCATTTTTATGAATCTCCTTAGGAAAAGACACATAACACTAGTATTTGGAAATTTCACTGTCTTTCAGTGTGAGAAGTTACGTTTCTTTCTGAAGCAGAACCATGTTATGTCTTTAAGAAACACGATCTAAGAGAGAATATGAACTCTAATTCTCCAGCTTGTGTCTGTGGTAGTTCTGCTCACTCTGTGCTCTTTGAACTCCTGTGCCTCACTCTCTGGTTGGCATCTCCTCAAAGACAGCTTTCTTATCGCACAGTCATCTCACTGAATTCAACAAATTGTGGGCATGTTAGGGCTGTGTTCTGACCTCCCATGTTTAGTTGATGCATGCTTGAGCTTGCAGTGCTCATCAGCTTTATAGCCGTCCTCTTCCTGAAATAGCTCTTTCTTTCAGCCTTCAGTACCCTCAACTATAAGTTATCATGCTCATTAAAACTACATAAGATGAAGAGATTTGGCCCCCTAAGGAAAGAGCTAGAGAAATGATACTTGCATATCATTTTTTTAAGGTTTATATCTTAAGTGATTAGGGTTAGGATTAGGGTTGCATAGATATTTTCAGCTCTTTCTAAGGCCTTGAGCCTACACTTCCTTCCATATCCGGATGAATGAGAAACAATTTCATTGCAATGAAATTTGCCAAGTAGTAGTAGCAAATGGTTTATGCTATGTTATAACCAGGTGAATTAAGCACCTGACAAAATAGCAAATAGGTAACTTGAGTATTAATTTGCTTACATTTTATTTCCCCAAGATTTCTAATTTCATTCACAATAGTTACAAACCTTGACACTTGAAAACATGTCAATTGCCATGCCACTGTGGAGCACACCTCTAATCCCAGCACACAGGAGGCAGAGGCAAGAGGATCTCTGGGAGTTTGAGGCCAGCCTTATCTATACAGAGTGAGTTCCAGGAGAGCCAATGATACCCAGAGAAACCTGTCTTAAAAAAAACAAATAAACAAAAAACAAAAGAAAGAAAACATGTAAACTGAAATTATAATTTCTCCTTGTAATATGAGAGGCTCTTCTCACACAGTAAAGAAATTGAGAAGTGTATAAATCATAAATTTTGGATTGCCCTAAGATTACAATAAATGTTTTTTAAATACTTATGCAAAGGCAGAAGGAATTCCAGCCTGGAAAAGCATCCAGTTCTTGACACATCCAACACACTCTACCAAAGAAACCTTGTTGCGTTTGCTCTTGTTGTTGTCAGATACACTTAAGCAGTAACATAAGATTATATTTCTTACTCTATCATGACATGTAACCTGTGTCTAGTATTTCAGGTGCTTTATTCTCTGAAAAAGATGGCCACAGATTGTTTTTATTAAAAATGTTCAACATCCTTTACATAGAAAAAATAAATTGGCATCAAATTATTAACTCTCTGCCCCCTAGATTTCCATGATTATGAAAGCCAACAACATTTCTTTTAAGGATAATAACAGTATTGTCAACAAATAAAAATGACTCGAGATACATGATCATTTACTTTGTTAACAGGAAAGAAAAGCTAGATTATGGTTGCTTAATTTAAAAAAAAATGTATTTCCTGCTTACTTTAAGAATCATGCACGGACTGGAGAAATGGCTCGGCTGTTAAGAATATTTGTTGCGGGATGGCTCAGAGGTTAAGAGCACTGGCTGCTCTTCCAGAGGTCCTGAGTTCAATTCCCAGCAACCACATGGTGGCTCCCAACCATCTATTATAAGATCTGGTGCCCTCTTCTGGCCTGCAGGTGTGCGTGACATTGTGTACATCTTTAAAAAAAGAATCATGCGCTCAGATGTAACCCATAGACTCAGTCTGCAGGGGCTGTCCCTGGTATGAACTCAGTGGCTGGCTCTTTGATCACCTCCTCCTCCTCGAGGGGAGCAGCCTTGCCAGGCCACAGAAGAAGACAATGAAGCCAGTCCTGATGAGACCTGATAGGCCAGGGTCAGATGGAAGGGGAGGAGGACCTCCCTATCCGTGGACTAGGGGAAAAAATTAGGGGAAGAAGAGGGAAGGAGGATGGGGTTGGGAGGAAATGAGGGAGGGGGCCACAACTGGGATACAAAGTGAACAGATTTATAATAAATAATAAATAAAAAAAAGAAATGTACAACATCTAAAATTCTATTACATGTAAAAGAAAAAAAAAAAACCTCCAAAAAATAATCTAAGCTGAGGAGACAAGTCATAAGACAACAAGTAATTGTGGATAAAGGTACAAGTGAAAATAGAATTTTAAATACTGAGTTTGTTAAGGTTCACACGATTTTGGGGGGTTTTGTTGTTGTTATTGGGTGTTTTTTATTTTGTTTTGTTTTGTTTTTTGCTTAGAAAAGTTACATATTATGAGTCTCAAAACAAAAGTCATGAAAGTTGAAACTTGAGTCTCTGCACATGATTGTTTCATGGCTTGTTGTTTGTTTTTGTTTTGTTTTGGTTTGGTTTGGTTTGGTTTTTTAAGTTTTCTTATCTTCGTCCATGAAATGAATGTTCAATTCCTTGCCTATGGCTACCTAGCAGGTACTTAACAATTAGGACCTCATAAGAGGCTTGCTTCCATATAAGTGAATTCTGAATGACAGTTGCAGTAAATACTATGCCTAGGATGTCTTGGCTAGTGCTACAAGAGCCTCATGTCTGTCATCAGGTATCACAAGGGACAGTTGTATTCTTTCATAGGCAGCCTAGATGCTGGAGTTACTCTGTCTCTACTTGATTAGCACAAGAGAGACCCGTGTTCTAGAGAAAACCTCATATGGAA